GAGGAAACACTCAGGAAAAGAAAATTTCCTCACCTGAGAACTCCCACCCCACAACTTTTGCCAAAGGAAAATGTTTTTTTACACATTTCATCTTTTCAAATGAGTGAAATGTTTTCAAGACTGGGGTTTAGTAACTCAAAATGTTAGTGTTATGTTTCTTATGTAAGGTAGTCTACAGCATTAGAAAATGATAGTTCCAGTGCATACAGTAGACATATACAATACAGGCAACTTCCAATTTATGTGGGGGTTACGTTCCAAGGCACGTGTATCTAAGTGAAATTGTGTATATTTGAAACACCATTGGAAAAAGCCTGCAAATACCCTGTTCTGCCACTTTTTGAGTCACTTTGGGTTCAATGCAGTCGTGCACATATTGGGCACCTAAAATGGCCAATTTCTGTACTCAAAGCCAAGATGCATTTTTACCTAGAGAGTGCTGTCACCTTTCTGAGGAGCCTATAGGGCTTCTTCTTTTTCTTGTGAACTGTTACTTCTTCTTCTTCTGACCTATGATCTAGCGTGTGGAATGCTAGAAACAAGAATTCTACACCTGCTGCCTTCTGACCTCACCCCTCCCTTGTGGTCAATTTTCACTTCTCTCAAATGACATAATCTGCTATAATCCTGCACCCACCTACTTAGAAGCAAATTGCATTGGGGTCAATGGGATTTACTCCAAAGTATGGTCTAAACCACAGAGCCTAGATTAGAAGGTTGGTGATTCAAATCCCCACGACAGGGTGAGCTCGTTGTTCGGTCCCTGCTCCTGCCAACCTAGCAGTTCGAAAGCACGTCAAGTGCAAGTAGATAAATAGGCACCGCTCCAGCAGAAAGGTAAACGGTGTTTCCGTGCGCTGCTCTGGTTCTCCAGAAGTGGCTTAGTCATGCTGGCCACATGACCCGGAAGCTGTCTGAGGACGAAAGCCGGCTCCCTCGGTCAGTAAAGCGAGATGAGCACCGCAACCCCAGAGTCGTCCTTGACTTCACCTAACAGCCAGGGGTACCTTTACCTTTACCTTTTTATGTGTGTACAGGATTGTAGCCTAAGGCATTTATAACTTTGAGGCTACTATCTGGTGATGGCTTTCTTGGGACTGAGTATTATTTCTAAGTAAATATACATAAAATTACTTGTGAATTTAATAAATATGCCAAGTAGCATAATTTTATATGCCAAGTTAAAATGATGCATTTTATGCTGTTAAAGTAGTAAAAGAAATTTAGGTTTGATAAGAAACTAGCTATTGCATATATTTACATTTTCAGGGATGGGGGGTGGTGGGATGGAAATACTGAAATGTCCAACGACTTTAAGAAGCTGTCTAGGGCAGAGACCTGTTCAATTTTTGTAAATAAAAGGTTAAACCTCCACACTATATTTAAGCAGAGTGCCTGATCCTGACACTCTGATGTCCAAAATGGATAACTGTCAGAAAGCAGAGATTTGGGAATGAAGAAAGTACAGAAAATGGCAGTGCCACAAATACATAAAATGTTTATATGCAAGATTATGCATCGAAATCACTAAAGGTATTTTCTGGGAGTTATTATTTATCTAGCTGCAACACAGTGTACATGAAAGGCAAACAGGTCTCTGCCCAGAAGAGCAATTACATGTGAATAGGATAATAATGGTAAGTAAATAATCACCACGACTGACTAGTTTACACACAAAATGTCACAGACAGGGTAAAATACACAAAATTAAAAGTAAGTCATTGCCATAGGAGGGGCAGCGGCATTATTTTGAATAATTCAAAACTTACCTACATATCAAAAAAAGATGAGTGCCCCTTTCGGACTACTTCGATTACACATACCCAGTTTGGATTCAGAATCTGCTTCAATGTCATCTCATGTTTCTCAGTGCCTAACAATTTGTAGTGGAAAGACTGTGCCTTCTGCGGGGGGCGAGGGAAAGGGAGAGAGAGGGGGGTAATATTTTTACTCCTAAATGGAGACTTTGATTTCCAGAAAACAACACTGTCAAACTTTCTTTCAGTTTGAACAAAAACCCTTCGTTATGCAGTTAATTTTATCATTTTCTTCTAAAGCCCGCGAGGTGGACAAGTCTTCCTATATCTAAGCCCCTCTTGTACAAAGGTGAAGAGGAAGAGAAGGGAGCTGGCGGAGCTTTCCTAGATCCTCTTTTTAGTAAACTGAGAAGAGTGGCGGCGGCGGGAGGTCACCAGACAAACATCTTCACTGACCCCCCCCACCCCTACCCCCAGACACAGAACCCAAGAGAAAGGGCTAACAAGTAAATGCAATAATAGGAGGGAACAGGGATAAACAAAATGCAGACAGGCAATAGCAAACAAGAAAAATACACACAGATTAACAAGCAAGATCCCTTGAAAAATAAATAATTACATACTTACCAAGACACCCAGATAAGGACAAACAGGTAACAAAGAGTACAAGGAAAGAGACACACAGAGGGTGGAGCACCACTTCAAAGCAAGGCAAAATCAGAAATTGAAGTTGCATGCTGCTTGTAGTTGTGGGCAGGGCTGATGCCAGTTGTGGGCAGGACCATAGGTAACTAGTCACCCTTTTCTGTACTCTCTGACACCTGCTGTCTTCCTCTCCGCCCAGAGGGCCAAGGGATAACAAATCCATCTTCCTAGAGGTGCAGTGATTACTAGCAGAGTTCTTCTGAAATTAGGCCAGGGGCAAGTGAAATCATACTATGGGCTGGAAGCATAGCTGTCAACGTTTCCCATTTTTAAAGGGAAATTCCCTTATTCCGAATAGGATTCCTTGCAAGAAAAGGGGAAAGTTGATAGCTATGGGCTGAAGGTTGCCAACCCCTATTAAGGACACTGCTTGAACGAACTATGGACAATTTGTATTTATTAAAATTTATGTACCACACCTTTCATCTGAGGATCACAGGGCCATTACAATATAAACACACAAAAATGCTTAACAAGATACTTCTACCACTATGAAAAAATAGTCTTACTTTGGAGTCTGATGCACTTCTGACCACCAGCTACAGTTAGTATAATTAACAAGTAGTAAGATTTGACACCACAGGAGGACTAAAGAAGGATGTGTAGGTATCATGGACTGAACGAGATCATTCAAGCTTTTAAGGGTGTAGAAATCACCATCTGACTCATCTCCTGTAAAGAGCTTAGTGGCTGCAGCTGTGATTCTTCTGAACATTCCTAAAACAGTGAAAATGGTTTTTAAAAACCCAAACAAAATCAGAAATAGCACATTATAAAAGAGATCCATTTGACAACTCATGGTTTAGGCCACTAAAATATTTAATTCTTATCAATCTGAATTTTAAATATTTCTCAGTTAATGAAGTTTCTAAGTATCATGCTTCCAGAAAAAAACTTTTTAGGATCTTTTTTTTGACTGATTTTTAGCAGTGCATTTCACTGAAATTAGTCATACCTTATCCTGGTGAAATGCAAAGCTCTCCAAATATCAATGAGTATTTTCTTCAAAACATGACCAGTGGAAAACAATGAGCCCAGATACAGATACAAGACTACCCTTTGTTAAGGGGCATGGCTGCATAATTGTGTGCCCCCCCCCAATCCTTCTGGCATAAACCTCTCCAAGGAGAACTCAGAGATTACCTTAAACTGAAACCTTCCTCAGCTGTGATACACACACTGCAGTTAGGCTTGAAAGAAGGCCCTTACTGTACGGAACAGAGATCTGTTTTGAAGTCCAGCTGTGGGGCATGCACAACAGGGTTGCTGTGTACCAGAGGGCCCATTGGGTGCACCAACCTATGGGTTGCAGAGTCCCCCCACCCCAACAGCCACTAGTTCATTTCATAGAATAACAGAATAAGAGTTGGGGGGGGGGTGTCATCTAATCCAACTTCCTGAAATGCAGGAATCTTTTTCTCCAATGTGGGACTTGAATTCAGGACCCTGAGATTAAGAGTCTCATGTTCGTACCAACTAAGCTCTCTCTCTCTCGATTTGAAAGGTTTGAACTCTAATTTTCTCAGGGGAACTACCTTAATCAAACAGTACCATTTAAAAACAAGTTTTTTAAATTCAGGTACAAACGGGAAACAGAACTGTTCAATGGGATTCATTCCAAAATACAGTGGTACCTCCGGTTGCCGAACAGGATCCCTTCCGGAGGTCAGCTGGATCCCTGGGTTTTGCAACCCGAGGATCACTGTTCTGCGCATGCGCACGGTGGTAGACTGCTTCTGCGGCATGAGCGTGGGGCGAAACCCGGTCAAATACTTCCGGGTTTGCTGCTTTCGCAACCTGAACTTTACGTTATCCGAAGGTAACGTAACCCGAGGTGCTTCTGTAATCCAAAGTAAAGCCATTACAAGTGGTTACCTCGGGTTACATACGCTTCAGGTTACATACGCTTTAGTTACAGACTCTGCTAACCCAGAATTGTGCTTCAGGTTAAGAACTTTGCTTCAGGATGAGAACAGAAATCGTGCTCCGGCAGCACAGCAGCAGCAGGAGGCCCCTTAGCCAAAGTGGTGCTTCAGGTTAAGAACAGTTTCAGGTTAAGTACGGACCTCCAGAACGAATTAAGTACTTAACCCGAGGTACCACTGTATTTTAATGGCTGATACAATAATGTAAGACAAACACATTATCTGAAGGGCAATACCTGATTTGAAGGTATGAATTAAAGCACATAAGCAACGTGCCCAACTCTTGGCAATAGAATGTGTGCTGCTGTTCATTCATATCCACGTTCAAGTGTTTGGTGGTGATATCTTCCAGGAGGATCCCCACTAACTGCAACAAGAACCTAGGGAGAGGGAGTTTTACAAAGCATCATGTAATTCCCCAAGTTAAGGACAAAATAGGGTTAAGATCTATTTGTCAACACAGCCCTGGAGGGGGAAAAGAATCCCATGAGTGCACAGACAAATGTACGGACACAATAAATAAATAACTTATATTTGCCCGTAAGTAAGATTTCATTGTTGGGTTACTATAAAATTCTAGGATGTCTCAGGTCTCCTTTTCTAATAAATACACACTTTTATCCCAGTATGTATTATAAGGAAATTGTACAACAACAAAAAATGACTAACCTAGAAAATGTCTCTTCAGGCAGATATTTATCTTGCTCTTCCAGAGTTTGTTCGTGAGTTGAGGTAAGAATGGTTTCACCGTTTCGTAGTCTGTTAATTGTTTTGCACGAGATTAAATATGGTGAAAAGGAGAGCTCTTGAATACGAGAAAGAACAATGTCTTCTGTCGACTGCGAAATCAAACCCGAAGAATGGCAAGAATGCCAGATATCCATAATTGCACAGTGCTCACGGAGGCCTACCAATGAGAGAAAAACCCCAAAAGATGGAAAGCGATGAAGGAAGACGACAACACCAGGGCCTGCTCAAAGTGAACTGCCTCCCTTCCCCTCCAAGGGCCAACATTATTTTTTATTTATTTTAGTATTTTTAAATTGTAAACTGTCTTGGCAGAAAGGTAGTATATAAATGCAATCAATCAACAAATTGTACGTAAAGTTGAAAATACTGATGGGGACAGGAGTGTATGATTCCCCCTTCCATTTTTTTTTTACCAGATTGCTTTAGCTTTCTGTGATTTTCCACTCACGTCTTGCCAAGGAAAAAATGATGCTTACCAATGTACTGGGAGTCACAAACATGCTCCTTAAAAGCATGTCCACTGGTCGGAGGGCTGATGGTGCCAGAATTTCAAATAAAGTGTTCAATACCCCCAGAGCTTCATGAGAATCTATATGCATCTATTTAAAAAAACAAACATAAATCCCATTTTTTGTCACTAACATTATTATGTTTAATTGTTTTTAATGATACTTCTCCCATTTTTAGTTTTTTTCTAATGATAATGATGATGATAATAATGTCAAAGTCAGTTAAATAACAATAAAAATAAATAAATGCTGAACTCATTTTTAATTTCTGAGAGCAACCTAATCAGACAGGATTCTAATGCTTAGTCTTTCTAACACAAATCTCAGCATGGCATTAAAGCATACCATGAATGTACATTCAACTTTTTCACAAAGACATATAAAGAGCTGGGAGCATCAGCAAGGCAGGCCTATGATGCATACAATCATGATATGAAATTTAACTGACTTTATGAAGTTACTGATTTACACTTGCCACATACAGGCAGCAACCATTTGGCACACGTCCCAACTGATGCACGACTGCTGACATGTGGGCCCCTTTTGGCGGAACGGGGTTATTTGGGACCACTGACACAAACAATGACCCAAAACACAACCCCTGAGTAAAGGGGAGTTCCCTGTATTTAAACATTTCACGTGTTTGGAATTTTGAAGCCTTGTGGGTTTCTTGTAAACGATATTCAGAGTAGACTCACTGAAATCAGTGAACTTAAAGACATTACACTGAAGTGTGCATGCACACGAAAGCTCATACCAAGAACTAACTTAGTTGGTCTTTAAGGTGCTACTGGAAGGAATTTTTTTGTTTTGATTTCAATGGGACATTAGACATTAGACATTACACTGATTTCAATGGGACTGCTCTGAGATTGACTTAGTTGGATAACACCCCCTATACAGTGGTGCCCTGCAAGACGAATGCCTCGCAAGATGAAAAACCCGCTAGACAAAAGGGTTTTTTGAGCTGTTTCGCAAGACGATTTTCCCTATGGGCTTGCTTCGCAAGACAGAAACGTCTTGCAAGTCTTGCGACCCCCCCCCCCCTTTTTTCTAAGCCGCTAATAACCTTTTAGCCGCTAAGCCTTTAATAGCCGCTAAGCCGCTAATAGCCTTTTAGCCGCTAAGCCTTTAATAGCCGCTAAACCGCTAATAGCCTTTTAGCCGCTAAGTCTTTAATAGCCGCTAAAACCGCTAATAGCCTTTTAGCCGCTAAGCCTTTAATAGCCGCTAAACCGCTAATAGCGCTAATCCGCTAATAGGGTTGCTTTGCAAGACGAAAAAACCGCTAGACGAAGAGACTCGCGGAACGGATTATTTTCGTCTTGCGAGGCACCACTGTATATCTAAAAGTCCTGTATGCCCTGGCTCTTGCTCAAATCACGACAACAGGGGCTCCTACTTGAAAGTAAGGAAGATATATTTATTGAAGGAGAGACTCGGTGACAAGGCTAGAGTAGCCTCAAACCTCTGACTAGGTAATGGGAACTGGTGACGCTTACCAGGCTAGAAGCCGCCGTCAAAGTTCAAGGAATTCAAGATCAAAGCAAGAAAAGTTCAAAAGCATAAGGAAGCTTTGCTCAATGAGTTCCCACAGCCACCAGCAAAGCTTTTTAAAGGCATGGCACAGAAAGCCTATGCACAAGCCTCCCTCGGCTTGTTGGAATGCCAAACTTGCGGACGTGCGCTGTGTTGGAGCGTGTGACTCTGCTCCCACATGTGGAGCCACAACTGCATCTTGAGCAACAAGCCTGCGCCCTCCTCTGACCCCGGGACACCCATCACAGGAGGGATTGGGTGGCTGGAACTGCCACTTCCCCATCAAAAACTGTCAGATTGCCAGCCCTCAAATGGGCACAAGCCTGACATCAACAAAGACAATACATAAAAACCAGCAGAGAGATATTTCAGGATCCAGGGTTATTTATTTATTTGAACTTAATCTATTAATTGACCTTAAGGTGGCTATCCTGGAACAAAGGAACTTCCAAAGGAGATGGCAGTAAAAAGTGCTGAATTTTAATTCATCATTATAAATTTGTTAGTCTTTAAGATGCTACAAGTTTGCCTGTTGTTTTAGTTGCAGCACACTTAACAAGCCTACTGGAAGTTGAAACACCACATATTGCAAACAAACAGTGCAACATATAAACATATATTAGTTTAGGTAACTAGGAGTTTTAACCTGCTGTTTTTGCCAACATTGGGAGAATGATGTCTGCTATCTGTCGGGATAAATCTTTTCCATTTGTCTTCATTCTCTCGGTGACACTGCTGCAATACTAGGATGAACATCTCCAGCACCTGAAGATAAATAAAAATCTCAGAACATGCCACATTCCTTTATATCATTAGAAAACTATTCCTTTCAGTTCTCTTTGCCTGCTTGTCTGACAGAAATGTTCTAGCATTTCCCATATTCTTTTCTCCCCAAAATGCAATATAAATTTATTTGGGTCATTACACAGAGTGTTTCTGTGTCAGCCTCAGCCAACACATAGCAAAAAGAGAGGAAAATAGAAAGGGAGAAACTCAACCCACGGCTGCTTATTTCATAGTGGTCCCCATGTTTCCTATAATGCATTGTAATGTATAAGGCAGCTCCCACTTGTGTGCACTCAAGACACACATGGTGCCAATCAATCAATCAATAAACAAAAATACAAAAAAGTAAACACAAATACAAACTTTAAAATATAAATATATGTAAACAAAAAAGTAAACAAATATCAAACAAAAATATATAAAAATAAAAGATAAAATAAATAAAGAAAGAAATTATAAACAAACATAAACAAACAAACAAACAATAAAATACAAAACAAGCACTCCTCAAGCATTCAGTGACTGACTATAAATAATTTTGCTATTTTAATATTGATCCTCTTTCAGTAGTTTGCATTAAATATGAAATATTATTATATTTTATTCAAAATTGTTTTTTATTGATGTTACTGATTCTTAAGTTACCTTGAACCCTTACGAGCAAGAGGCAGATAAAAGTATTCAAACCAAGAAGAAAAAATATAGAAACGTATTAGAATTTTTTCCCTACAGAAAAAACATACAAGGTACTGGAAGACTGTCACAGAAAGGAACATAACATGGAATTCAAGACCTTCAACCCAAACTATTCTAAACAAAATGGACATACTAATTAGCCTACAAGCATGCCCACACAATTTACCTGATGGTACTGGATAAGCCTCAACAACATTGAGACGACCACTTCTTTTTGCGTCTCCAGTTCTTTCCCAGCATCAGCTTTGTTTGTTCCTCTTAATATAAACAGATCATGAACAATGGGCTGCAGAGCAGGTATTGCTACAAAAAAGTTACAATATCAATTTTAAATTAAAATGTAACAGAACTAAAACATGTAAACTCTTAACTATAGACGTTCTGCTGTCAAACTTTAGGACTAATGCATCTTTAATGTGTGTGTTTTTATGACACTTGTATTTTAAGGCCAGGAGTAGGGGGGAAGGATTCAGAAGCCAAGCCTTTTATCTCTGCTTAGTGCAAGAAACAAAAGCTTACGGTTAAGATGATCTAGCTCTTGTAAATAAAGAATAACCACACACCCAGATGGCAAAGAACCTAGCTAACACAGTTAAAGTAACAAAAATATTCTTCCCAATAGAAGAGTATTTCTTGAATAGGTCAACAACTGGTAGTGAAAAGTTTCTTGCATAAAGTCCCTTATTAAAAGGAGGAAAAGGCAGGATGTAAAGAAAGGACATAAATTCTCCTGCAAATTTTTTAAATGATTGGAATAATTCTCAAATCCAGCGCCACAAAACCCTTACAACTTTTTAGCACTTGATATACCGAACATTCGTTTTGCAACTTTACTCTTTAATTACCATGTGTAACGGCTTTCCTTCCACTGGCCATTATCCCATCACACAGCTGAATAATTTTAGGAATTCCAATTATCTGTTTGGAGTGGTAACGCTCATAAGACAACAATACCAGGAAGAAAAAGATACTAGGAATAATTGCTTCTGATTCCCTAGGGAGAGAAAAAGGAAGAGAAATATTTTAAGAGACTTCTGAAACTTCCAGAAGGAGGACCACTCAGTTTTGGAGGCTCAAACAGCTGAGAACTAGATTCAGCTAATGACAAAAGAATCTTAAGCCTAATAACTCTATAATTTAAATCAGTGTTTCCCAACCTTTTTAGGGCAAAGGCACACTTGTTTCATGAAAAAAATCTCGAGGCACACCACCATGCCAGATGGGGAAAGGTCACTTTTTACTTATGTAAAAAAAAATAAAAAAATAGTAACAGCATAGAAGGTAATGGTTATCTCTTTGATGTCTGATGGGAGGGCATTCCACAGGGCGGGCGCCACTACCGAGAAGGCCCTCTGCCTGGTTCCCTGTAACCTCACTTTTCACAGTGAGGGAATTGCCAGAAGGCCCTTGGCACTGGATCTCAGTGTCTGGGCTGAACGATGGTGGCGGAGACGCTACTTCAGGTATACTGGACCGAAACCGCTTAGGGCTTTAAAGGTCAGCACCAACACTTTGAATTGTGCTCGGAAAGGTACTGGGAGCCAATGTAGGTCTTTCAAGACTGTCGTTACGTGGTCTCGGCGGCAGGTAGCAGCGCTCACAGCTTACGGACTGCACCGTGTAACAGGTGTCTGGCCCAGCAGCCTAAGGCGGACAAGCCACTGAAACAGGCATTCAGAATCCATTCATTTCATAAAACCTGCAGGGCTCAATCTCTGTGTTTGTGTATGTGTGTGTTTCTGTTTTGCCCAAGGGTCTGGGGGTGGGAGAGAGCTCTTTAGCATGATGCTTTTAAAACAATTAAATTATCAACAAACAAACCTGATGATACGAATAGCAACGTCAGGTGCTACGGGGGGGGGGGGAGAAGGGGGCCTACTCGGAAGTAAATACTGCGTCCAGGCGCAATTAGCGCTGATTTAAGGTGCACCAAGACTGCCTAAAAACCTCACCAAAGATATGCAACAAAGCGCTTCGTTGCAGAGGGGAGAGTTTGTGCACCGTGGAGGCTGGAGGGCTTCTATTCTACATGCGGGGGTTGGGGGGGAGGAAAATGTGCTCCGTGGTGGGGCGGGGAAGGCAAAGTTGCAAAAGCGCCCTGCTCCTTCTTCCGCGGAGGGAAACTGTCAGAGCTGCTTCAAGATCCTAGCTCACAGAGGATCACGCTAGCCAGCGATCATTAAATAAAAGTCTTTATTGAGTTACAGTTTCCATTCTCAAGCTGCTGCGTGCAACTCTACGTCTTATGGCTAGACCGGCGAAGCTCCGTCTGAATCTCCGCCCCCTGTACACCAACTTAATACCCTAGCTTTACTCCACCTTTTCCGCCTGACTGTTCTTCTCTGGGTCCCTCTGCCCCCCGGGGTCTCTTCCTTCCGGGATTCTTCTGACGCTGACCCCCCGGACCCTTCTGTCTCCTTGCGCCGGGCTTTAGGACCTGGCTCCCTTTCCGGGCTGCTCACTGCGCCACCTTCCTGTGCATTTGAACTTGGCGCGCGCGCCCAACCTTCCACTTTCCGTCTGACCGTTTCTTCGCTCCCCGATGGAGGTGTGGCCACTCCTGACTCGTGCCCTCCCTCCTGTTGTGAGCTTCCAGCGCTTGATACCTGGCGCCCTTCCTCTCCCCTGCTCTCTGTGGGTGACGCTGGTCCCGGTTTCCCACTGCTCCCCTCTGAGCCCCCTCTGGCCCTTTCTTCCTGGGGTGTCCCCCTAGGCTCCCCCCTTGCCCTGGCCACTGGTGCTCCTTTCTGTGAATCTTCTGATTCACTGGAAAGACTCGGAGATCTCGGGTCGTCGTCATCACTCATCTTTTCTTCTGCCTCCTCCCCCTCACTCTCTGTTTCCTCCCTTTCCCTTGCCTCTGCTCCTGAACCCCTGACATCCATCCCCCCCTCGAAGCCCCCTCTTCCCCCCTCCCCTCCGTCCGGTGCGGGAGCTGGGTGCTGCCGTGTCAGGGGGACGAATGTCGGATACAGTTCGCTTCCCGTGGCGGGCCTCCCTCTGAAGTCTTCCGGTTCTTCCTCCCTGCTCTCGTCGACGACGGTCACCTCCGCTTCCATCTCTGTGCCGCCGTGCTCGAACCCCGGGTCGTCCCCGAATATGTCCATGTCCGTCTCTCCCTCGTTTCCTTCTGGGGACGTTGCTCGTCCTGGACCCTCCAGCCACTTTCTGCGCCACTGCTCCTCTGGTCTATCGTCCCACCAATACGATGGTTCTGAAGCAGATCCCGAGGGTGACCCCTCCGGGGAACGGGCGTTTCGTGTCGGTTCCTCGTCCGAGTCGAACCCCTGGAACGTGCTGGCTGAAAGCGTGGGCGTGAAAAGCCAGTCGTCGAAAAAGTCTGCTGGCATGGGCCTATGTGGGAAGAGGGCATGAAACTCTTCTTTGAGCAGAGGTTCGTCTAAAGCGTAGCCCGGCACCCAGCTGTTGGCACTGGCCGGGGTGCCCTCTCTGGCGAGAAAGTATTCTACCCCCTCTTCCCCCCATCTGGAGTCCAAAATCTCTGTGACTTCGTTGATGTGCTCCACCTGTGCCACTCCCCCTTGCTCAGTTCTCTCTCGGAGCGGACTCGGTGCCGTTCCCGGTTCCTGAAACCTGTGAGGTGCCTTGTAGGGAGTGAGCACCGATCTGTGGAACACCGGATGCATCCTGGAGCCCTCCGGAAGCTCCAGCCGGAAAGCCACCGGGTTGACCTGCTCTTCGACTTGGTAGGGCCCCAGTTGTTTATGCCCTAGTTTCTTCTTCGCCAACGACCTGGCCGGCACTGCGTGGGCTGCTAACCAGACCCAGTCTCCCACATGGATCTCTTCGCCAACCCTCCTGTGTTTGTCCGCTTGCACCTTGTATGCGTGTTTAGCCAGCTCCAGGTGCCGCCGAAGCTGCTCGTGGACTTCCTGCAACTCCAATGCGAACGCATCTGCTGTCTGCGGCTCCCCCTCCCCCATTCTTTCCAGTCCCGGGAAGGTTCTGGGGTGCCTCCCGTTGTTGGCGAAGAACGGCGTGACCCCTGTGGACACGTGCTTCGTGTTGTTGTAGGCGAACTCGGCGAGAGGCAGGTAGTCCACCCACGTCGCGGGCTGTTGATTCGCATAACATCTCAGGTACTGCTGCATGATGGCATTGACCCGCTCCGCTTGCCCGTTGGTCTGCGGGTGTCTAGCCGAAGCCAGGTTGATTTTGACGTTCAGGAAGCCCATCAGCTTCTGCCAGAAGTTCGAGATGAACTGCCGCCCCCGGTCAGACAGTATAGACCGCGGCAGCCCGTGAACCTTGAACACGTGGTCTATGAACAGTTTGGCTGTTTGTTCCGCCGTGGCCACTTTCGCACACGGAATGAAATGTGCCATCTTGGAGAACAAGTCCACCACCACTAGCACTGCCGTCTTGCCCCTTGAGCTGGGCAGATCCGTGACAAAGTCCAGGGCCACTCTCTCCCATGGTTCGCCCGGGGTTTGCAGCGGTTCCAGCAGCCCCGCCGGCGGCCTGTGTACTGGTTTGGCCCTCTGGCAGGTGTCGCACCTCGCCACGTAGTCCGCGACCTCCCCTCTCATTCTGGGCCACCAGAAGTCCCTGGCGACTAATTCTAGTGTCTTCTCTGTGCCAAAGTGCCCGGCAGTGGGTGCGTCGTGCAGCTGCTGCAGTACTTTGGCGCGAAGATCGTCCCCCGGCACGTAGATGGCCCCTTTACGAAGGAGTAATCCATCGCGAACTTGGAACTCGCCAGTCGCCGCCGCGCCTCCTTGCGCCTCTGCCATCTTGGCTCGCGCGAAGGTGTCAGCCTGCAGCGCTCTCCTCACCGCATCCAGGTCCACTGTCGCTGATGCGCACGCCCACACCGTCGGTGCGAAGATGTGCATGGCTGCCGCTGGCGTCGCCTCCTCCAGATACTGTGGCTTACGGGAGAGAGCATCCGCCATGATGTTGGTGTCCCCCGGGACATACTCTATTCGGAAGTCGAAGTTCGCAAAGAACTCAGCCCAACGTATCTGCCGCTGGTTCAGGAACTGTGCCGTGCGCCAGTGCTCCAGATTCTTGTGGTCCGTGCAGACCTGCACCGTGTGCTTTGCGCCGATCAGGAAGTGCCGCCACGCTTTGAATGCTGCGTGAATGGCCAGCAACTCCCTGTCCCAGATGGTGTAATTCTGCTCCGACTTGCTGAGCTTCCTGGAGTAAAACGCTCCCGGCCTCCAAGCCCCCTGCGGGTCCTTCTGCAGCAGGACGGCTCCCACGGCTCTGTCCGAAGCGTCTGTCTCCACTCTCATCGGCCTGCTGGGGTTGACATGAAGCAGCTGCTCTTCCGACGCGAAGAGACGCTTGAGTGCCTGAAAGGACTGCTCCGCCTGCTCTGTCCAGATGAACTTCTTCTTCTTGGAGCTGAGCGTGTCCGTGATGGCCGCTGTCTGCATAGCAAAGCCTTTGATAAACTTGCGATAGAAGTTCGCGAAGCCGACAAACCGTTGGACCTCCTTCCGGTTGCGTGGGCTTTTCCAATCCAACACTGCTCGAACCTTGGCGCTGTCCATGGCGAGCCCCTTGTCAGACAACTTGTAGCCCAGGAAATCCACCTCCGTCACGTCGAATTGGCACTTCTCCAGCTTGGCGTAAAGCCTATGCTGCTGTAGCCTGCTCAGCACTTCTCTGACGTGCCTGTCATGCTCCTGCTGCGATTCCGAAAAGATCAGGATGTCATCCAAGAAACAGACGCACGTCTTGTAGAGGAGCCCCGCCAACACGTGATGCATGAAAGCTTGAAAAACGTGGGAGCCATTTTGCAATCCAAAAGGCATAACTCTATATTCGTAGGTGCCCAGGGGCGTGAACATGGCTGTCTTCCACTCATCTCCTTCCCGCATGCGAATGAGGTTGTACGCCCCCCGCAGGTCCAACTTGGTGAACACGCTGCCCTTCCGTACCTTTGCGAGGAGGTCGTCGATTCGGGGCATGGGGAAGTCCGATGGCTTGGTCACACTGTTCAAAATCCTGTAATCCACTACGAGTCTTTTTTGGGGCGTGTCCC